GCTGTCCTTTGGATGTAAAACCAGTAGAACCAGTTCTAAATGAAAAATTCCAGGGCATTTTTGAAAATAGTAGGGGCGTAACCCCGGCATCCTGGCCAAATATCTCCATTGCCTTTACCAATCATGGCCTCCTAATAAACAGCTTCATTGCTCTGTTAGCTGATGTGTGGAGAGAGTACTGGTGTCCCCATTACCTGTATAGTACTTTGACTGGAGTCTCCAGAAAGGCAGTATATAAGTCTAAGGATTCTTCTTCTGGTTCAGCTTCTTCTAATTTCTTTTAGTACAATACAGTTTGTATTGGTAGGGTTAGTTGCAGTTGTTTCAGAAAGTGAAAAATAGAATAACAATATAATTGTATATAGAGCTTGTTTATTCTTTAAGGAAACTGCCATTTTTAAGTTATTGTGCTGCTATCTTGTGTGCATAATTGTTAGGAGATATGAGCTGCTGCTTTTAAATCATGTGTCCATGGTTGTCATGCAAAACAAAGTGTTTTTATTTAGATTTGCCAAAACACAAAACTGTATCCCCGTACATCATTTATTTTGCAGCCTTTATATCTTATTCTTAATATGGTGTTGCAATCTGTGTAGTTTTAAGCACAGATTGCAGTGTCATTTGGGGAGAATTGAATTCTGACTTAATTTTCTGTTGAAAAGCTCACTATAGTGGCGGAGGAAGTCGGTGAGTAAAAGTGTGTGTGGGACGTGGTGGTGGTAGTGTAGGGAGACTGGAGATAGGGATTCTGTGCTTGTTGACATACTCAGTACCTCCCTGATTAAGATTCTCTTTTTTGGTCCGTGTCTCTCTGGTCTGTATCTCAGCATACTATAATCTTAGTAAATGTCATAAAGAACTCTTTATTACTTTCTATGTTTGTATGTTTATTAACACCTCATAACAGCAACTCAAATCTAATATATAATAAGTAACAACCTATCCAGATTTCCAGGGACTTGGTGAGGTTATTTTAACAACTCAGATGCTTTTGTTTGGCTGCACATTTCTTAAGGTGTGATTTGACTTTTCATTAGCAATGTTTAACCCTGTTCCCTAAACTATATTTATATCAGTCAACTCTAAGCAGCCCACATAGTAAAGTTATTATTGAAATTAGGCTGCATTCTTAGATTGTTACATTGTAGTTTAAAATTATCATCTTTAGATTTGAAAAAGAAAGATGTATTGTGAATGTTGTAAAGAGATGGTGAATGATTTTAAGAATTATCCTTAAAAAACACATTACCCTTAACCTGCCCAAAATGCAAATAGTTTATTTAATGTTAATGGTTACATATTTTATTCTCTCCTCCTTATTTAATCTAATCTCCTAATTTTATTTTGTTCTTAAAGTTATGTTTTTTAGTTACTTTTAACTAAACCAACTTTTAACCATGTTTACAAGGTGAGTAGTAATTTGCTGAAATATTCAATTCACTTTATTTTTATATAGAGCCAGAGTCAGAGTCAGAGACCTCTAGGGGACCAAGGTCAACTGGCTTCCCGACCCCTTTGATCATACTAACATTATACAATTAAAAAAAGGAATTGATGAATAAGGGTATTAATCCATCCATCATGTCTTCTGTATGTCAGTACTCCATGCAGATCTGTGTAGACCAGCAAAATCATCCTAAATGATAGCTATATCCAGGATGTCCCTCTTGGATCCATAGCAGTGATGCAGCATCCAACTCAGATGGTGCCCAGCCCGGGTACCATCCGGATATGTGGGGAGGAAATAGGATACTTTGGTCAGAACAGATGTGTCTATCTGGTGGGCCAACGCAGAGACACACAATGGCATGGACAGCAGCACCAGCAGCCATGGTTGGAGAAGGCTATGATGTAGGGAACATAAGATATATGTTTTGAAACTGTGCATTACTGTTTAAGAAATTACTAGATTATGGATTCTGTCACATGCATGTAAGAGCCTTTTCTCAGAAATCATGAAAGAATATTTAGGCATCAGACGCATAGATTATTTTTTAGTGCTGTGTTAAGTTGTCTTGAAAGAAAAATGAAAATTAAAAAAATTTTTAGTGTTTCAATTTTTTGGTATTTCTCTCAGGAAAATTGAAAAGACATTTTCGAGTATGAAAGTGTACTTTTTGTTGCATGATTTTAGTTTTGTTTTTCAGTAAATTTCCTGTACCTAAATAATACTAGGATACAAGGTCAGTAGTTCATGACTAATTAGTGCAATTCATCTTGTTGTGGATATCTGAACTCTTGTAGATTAATGTATTTCTTAATGTAGATTAAGTAACAGATTATTGCACCTTATTACCTTATTTTCCATTGAATGGTTTCCTGAAAAGTGAAAATCAGCAAATTTTGTTTGTAAAATTAGTTTGATATAAATAATTGGAATTGGAGTTGCAGCATATATACACAACTGAAAACATACTAAACATACTTGTATACTCTGCATTAAAAATGACTATTTATGTGCTGTGATTAACACTAATAATTGCCTACTTAAGTTTAGGTTAAAACTACCTCATATTGCACAGCATTTTTTATACAAAGTACTTGTCATTTTAATGCACACTTTAAATGGTAGAAAACCAAGCTAGAGTCTTGATTATTTAATTAACTTTATATTATAGAATATATATTTAATTAAAATCTAATTGGTTATCATCTTGAATTCATAAATAGCTGCCTTTTGACCTTCATGTCAAAAGCATCATATATTAATGTTATTTTTTTTGCTGTCTTTGTACACATTCCTTTTATTTTAAAGAATTACATATATAGTAAATTAAGCTACATTTCATAATATCTAATGATTAAAATAGCAGTTAATGCCCTTCAACTAGAAATAATCTAAAGGCTAATGCAAATTAAAGTCTTGATGACAGCTCTTTAGCCCTTAATACACTTATCATGACCCATGCTTAACCTTTAAGCACTGATGGAAATCTTAAGTAAGGCCAGATCTCATTATATGCTTACAAGGTAACCAACTCTGTGTTGTATTAAAAGACAAAATTACATATAGTGAGAGGAAGATTAATGGAATACAATGGTGATTCCTTTTGGAACCACATTCCCCAAGGCTGAAGAGTATTACCTATTGTGCTATGCAAACCAGGACAGATGTGATAGTACTGTAGTGAAATCCAACTTATGCAATATATAATGTGCAAGACCCAACAGGTGTTAATGTGTTAATTTTTTAAATATTGGGTGTGTTGTTAATGTTTTGAATGACTTTTTCTACTATAATGAAGAAGTGTAATGATTTTAAGTTAAGGTAATAGGGTTTATTTTCAGCTAAAGGAAAACCATTTTCGCTTACTGATTGGTATATAACTGAAAACATTATTTACTGGATCATGTGAGGCAGAAATGCATTTCTGTTTTTGTGATGTAAAAAATAAATGCCTTCATAAGAGGCAAATGGTTCACTGACCCATAAAATTGTTTTCTGGAATGAACTGTTATCCTTCTATATACTGTACGTGTTACGCAGCGGCTAAAGTGTAGGACAAAGTCTAGCTTGGGCACTTTATATTTCTCTGGGCATCCTGTGTAATCCAGTTGCACTCTTAAGCAGATTAGCAAAGACAATAAAATTCCCAAAGTTATTTGTGTTTTTTGCTGTTCATATTTAAACATATTAGTTATAAGGTATCAATTCACACAAAGGTATACATTTTAAGTGTTTTACCCTGATATTTAATTCCATGCCTTTTAGCAAATACCTCCCTGTCTACTATGCAGTTTTGCTGATGAATATGCTTTTGGAGCTATGTTTGTATTTTGTGCAGTCTAGTTATTGTTAAACTAACATAAAACCTTTTTGGTACTGTTCATTTTTAATTTGTATTAGGAACTAATCTGTTAATGTTATTTTACATTTGTTGTTAAATGCTCCAGTGCTGTCTTGCATTAGCTACTCACAATCCAAGTTTTTAGTTATGTTAAAAAAATGCATCCTGACCACAATAGTTATGCTTTTTCTATTACATTATGGCTTGCACTAGCAATCTGAAAAGCCCCACTTCAGTTGACTGCAGAAGAAACACCCACAAATTTAAGCAATTTAAAAACAAAATTCATATAAATCCACAGGCCTCATCCAGAATGAAAAACCAATTATCCCACAATAAGGCCTTATTTGAACTTCAGAGAAAACAAATCTGTTTATTGCTTTGGATTCTCTTTAAACATGTCTCAAATGTATTAGCAGTTTGAAGATCAGGAATTATATAACATAAAGCAGACATACAGCCCATTTTTTGTTCTTATAAGATGTGATTTTAAAGCTAATGACAAGAACTCTTTGTAAATTATTTTAACAGTATTTTTTAATTCTTAGTGTGCAACTATTCTCAGTTGTATAATTTCAACTTTTTAAAGCTGCTCATATGTAAACAAGAACAATGTTTAAACAGTTTAGATGGGCAAGATTCATGTTAGTCATGAAAGGACTGTTGGAGCAGTATCAGGATCCTGTTGGCCAAACGTCTTTTGAACAACTCCCAATCCAAGGATGTAAACAGATTAAATGTTGGTATATAGTAATAAATAGAATGGACAATTCCTTTTTTGAGCAGCCTAATTGTCTTACATACAGCTCCTTTCCAGGAAGGAATTAAGTTAATTTGTTTATTCATCTTTAAATAAGAATTACTATAGAATGAATAGGACTAAAGAAAGTATGGCAATTCAAATGAACAAATGAATAAAATAAAATTTAATTTCAGAACAGGACATGGTATATATATATTTAAATGTTGGGGCTTATTTTTGTGTAGGAAGTTGCATTGACTTCAGTTGGTTTTAATTTAAAGGTATATGTCTCTAGTTACTTTCACTTTCAATCTTTCAAGCTGTACTTGACACAGAGTAACCTTTACATGTAACTTTTGGGTTAAGGTCTAATCTCTTACCTGCCTGAGTATAATTTAGCACATGATGTGATCTGTGAAAGATTGAATAGTTGCAGATATTTTAAAATATCATGTATTGTTTTGTTTCAGGTGTGGATTGAAAGAAATGCTGAAAAGATTGAAGGATAACATTAATGTGGTAAGCCTTGCCTTTGCTGCCTATTTACTGCCAATTCCAAGGCCAAGTGCTTTGTCTGCAGTTTAGCAAGTCTTTTGTTTTTACATAAGGATAACAGTCAAAACAGGAAGGCACATGAACAGCTGTCTCTATCTAAGACCTCTGATATGTCTTCTGTGCTTCTTAATTACAGCTCCCACTTTCAGATTGGTTGTTTCCTGCTTAGCAATCTGCTTTAGTACTTAATGCCGCAAGTCCGTGACAACTGCATGAGGCATACTCCTGGCTCCTTTTGCGGTCTATTGGGATTGGTTTATTCATTTATAAATATTGCCTGGCACAGCTGTTTGTGGGCTATGGTCGACTTTTTTGGCATGTGTATGTGGAGCTCTCCATATCAAATTGAAAAGATTGTAAAATTTGCTTAATGCATGTCACAGCTGCCAAGCTTAAAATGTATAGGATGACAACCGGTGCAACGGTGAATAAGAAAGTTGTAAAAGGATGGGAAGACAGGAATTTCTTGGTCATGTCACCACTTGGTATCTTAGATATATTGGATAGCATTGCAAAAGAGGTATGTATAGCCCTAATGCAGTTCACATAAAATGTAGCAGATGTACTTTTTTATAGAATTGTGCTCAAGTAAAAACAAGATAGCATATACAAACATCTGGAGCATCGTTCAGTCACTGAACCCAGTACATATCATATTCTGAGATTATTTTACCATCTCCAGGAGTTCGTTAGCATTTCACAAACAAGGAACAAAAATAACAATTGATTATATGTCATAAAAAGAAGCAGAGACAACTAATTTATTAAAAATTACCTAATTATTCCACTTGTTCTATAGTTATGTGCTATGTTAAGAAACGTGAAATGTTTGGAACTTCTTACTTTGGAAATGGTTCAAGTAAATCAGAGTTAACCCTATAATCTCTATATTGCAGTGGTGGGACATTTTTGCTTTCATTCCGATTGGAACTACTTAAGGTTTTGAAAGAAAAATCGATTAAGTAAAAGACAGGAAGACCCATAAAATTACATGCCAAATGGTGAAATGGTGCTATATTAAAGTAAGGTATTCTTAAGCATACTAGCAAAAGTGTATCAGTAGAAATTAGAAGTACCATCTGAATTAGAAATTGTTGTACTCCCAGAGCTCATAGACAACACCTGTGTCACTATCTGTAGTCTGTGTCTGTGTCTTAGGCAAGCACTTCAACAAAAAATACAGACTCTTTAGGCTTAAAAACCCCACCACATGCTCTAATAGAGAAGCCCTTCCCTCTTGTTCTGCCTTTAGTGCTACTTCAGATTGTTCAGCTTTATGGGCTGTAGAATGCTTCTCTCCCTAGTACACAGTGAAAGACTTTTTTGCCATCATTAGTCTTCTTTTGCTAATTGAAACTGTGCATCACTGTGTATTTGTACAACAAATCACGCAATATGTAAATTAATAAGATAAATAGATGTGAATAGGGCACTTGGCTTTGTTAATGACAGCATACAACTTGAGTTTACCTTTGTTGAAGGGATTATAATTCCCAAGCATTTGCAGATGGGATAATTAATTACCAAATGAAGCATCCATAGATGCTCCCATGTCTTTTGTTTTTTTTTGCCTACAGATACAATGTATGAGAAACTGTTTAATAATGTGAAATATCAGAAATTTGAAAGAATAGTTTTTTGTTGTTTGAATGTGTACATGGATACATTTACTAATCGACTCACTGATATGTTCCTGTTTTTCACTAATAAACTGTATTTATTGCACTGTAAACTAAACTTTTATTTCAAGTTGTGGATGACCTACATCTTGAACAGTAAGGCACTTAATAACGGTACCAAGCAGATATAAATACACATTTTGATAGTCTATCACAACATCCTGCTAGATTGCATGGTCTTATTTGACTGCCAAGAGCAATGCGTTAATCTTAACATCTTTACATCTGATGGTTTCCACTACAGCAAGCATGAGTCCAGGGTTTTGAAATATGCAGTAAAGGGTTCTCCCTGAAAGATACATGAAACAAAATCCAGCAGTTGATAAAAATGCAGCTTTCAATCGAGATGGGTTAACTTTTACTCAGTGTTAACTGTACATTGACTTGTACTCAGCATTATCCCGTTGTAGTTTATCTCATTAGATCTCAGAAGCTAAGACTGATTGAGCCTGGTTAGTATTGGAATGGGAGGCAGTTTATTAGTAAAAATCACTGTGTATTATAATTTGATATAGAGATAGATCTAAAATCTAAAGGATTGTGTATTCATTCAATATTAAATGTATCATGTGCACATTGAAAGAGCCTAACATACATTTTTTTAGTTGCACACAATTCACTTCTTGTTCTTTTGACATTACTTTGCAGTCTTGCCTGGACAGAATCCCAGATTCAGACTTCACAGACTTTTAATGCTGGTTGGACACTCACATCCTGGCAGGCCAGAAAGTGTTAATGAATGTATACTGCACTAGTCTTCCTTTCCTGGTTTTGCTGAATTCATATTTTTAATGTCATGTCTTCAAAAAAATTATTTGCAGGAGATTTCCCTGATATACTTTGAAAAACGTGTTCCAGAAGTGTTGAATCATAAAAAAAATTGACAAGTGACAAATGCGCTTAAAGTCTGTTAATGGTTTCACCTCTTCGTTCTTTACACTTCTTTTTCTAGAAACAGTAATGGTTTTATTAGCAAAGGAAATATGAGTGAAAGCTTTGTGGGCAACACATGAAGACAACTTATTACTTTTTCTCCTGCGAGTTTTCAGAGAATAAAGATGTACTGTATTTCAGAGAATGTCTAGAGGTACACCTCTAGGTGGTCTTTGATGAAGTGTTCATTTACTAAAACAGTTTTAAAATAATAGAGTATAATGCTGTGAAAACTCAACCATAAGAAAAATATGTATTAGTATAGTAGTGCATTTTTATTGATCCCGGCTTTGTCATATGTTAATTTATGTGCGATTCCAAGGAGGGTGGCAACATTCAAGAGTGTTTCTTTAATCTTTCTTTTAGTATTCAAAATTAAATTCTAAATCCTATGATTTGAAGAATGAGCTGCATGATGGCTTAGTGGTAAATGTGTCTGCCTCACATAGCTTTTGGGTCATGTGTTGTATTCAGAACTGGGAAGTCTTCTGTGTGCAGTTTGCATGTTCTATCTTTGTGTTTGTGTTTTTGGCTGGGTGTGACAGTTTCCCACACCTTCCAAGATCATGCTGGCTTTGGCTAATAGGTAAAGATTAAATTGTTGTTAAATTGTGTGTTTCAAGCAAGGGACTAACACCCCATCCAGGATATAGTACTGCCTTACTCACTTGTTTTCTGGGATAAGCCCTGGGTTGTAATGACCCTTGCCAGGAATAATCAGATTCATGATAATGGATGGATAATGTAAGAGATGCATTTTTAATTGTTATTTTTTTTCTAGAACACCTTGTCTTTGGAAGCTCCCTTTAAGAGAGATGATAGATATGTGTATCAATTTATTAGTACACATTTATATTTAAGTGCAGATAAATTGTAATATGTATGTAAAAAATCAGGAGCTAGACCTGAAATCTCAGATATTAATTTCTTGCTGTCATGAAAGACAACTAAAACAGTTACTTTCATTTAGTAATTACTTTTTTTTGCAAATACCTTCAAGTTCAAAGCACTGCAGACACTGCACCAGGATGTATAGTTTCTGTAAGACTGTATTTGAGTTTGCATGAGTTTAATTTGTACAAAGTTATTTACCAAAAACATCTGGTATGGGTAATGTTAACAACTTGGCAATTATAGATGATATGTACATAGTATGTAACTATATTTAGAACCATTTTCAGATCATTTTAATAAAAATCAGCATTTTACCATTAGTTTGTATTGTAATAGGAAATATGTAAAGATGCATGTCTTTAGTATGCAAATTAGTTTTTCTTCCCATCTTGCACACTGTACAGTCTCATAGAACTTGCACAATAGCCTGGACACTTCACTGCAAGCAGTACTTGTAGTGTCTATTCATGCTTGTTTCTCCTTTTATGTTTTAGAATAGTTTTCTTTCTTCAGTTGCTTTATTTTTTAGTAGTGTGCAGCATAACAGGCTATTACCTAAATTGATCTACTTTCACATTCCCCCAGCTATTGTATACACATACATGAATATACTAAATGGCATCTTTTCATATTCACAACAAGTAAAAGTGTACAAGGAAAGTGAAGTATGATAATCTTCAAAATAGTTTAAAATAAACAGTCATAGGTCTTAGGTCAAAAGACCCACACACTGCTCTGGATGTAGTTGTCTGTCTGTGGGTTGACACGTGTACATGTTTTTTTATTATTTTGTAGCATACAAAGTCATCTGGGATTGTCAAAAGGGACTTCCCTTTAATTAAGCTTATGAAGAGGAAAGGCTGTCTCAGGTTTACCATGCCTTTTGTGAGGTTTTGGCGACTGATATGCCGCGGTATGCTTTGAATGTGTGTCTGCCTGGATGCATTAGTTTTGAGGGAACTCATTATCCTGGTGTTTACCTCAGTCAAAGGAAGTGCTTGTCAGTGGTGTCTGTGAGCCAGCCTGCCCCAGAAGAGAACAGTCAGGGATGCCTGCAGGCTAAGCCTGACAGGTCATTGGGTTTCTTCTTGAGTCATACAGAGACGGTTTCACTGCTGACAAGGATTTATGAGAAGATAGTGTCAGACCTCACACAGAACAGTGCCTGTCTGTGCCAAGGCAGGAAGGGACAAAAGTTAACTATTTGTGCTCTTTTGTTGTATTTTGCAAAGAGACTTTGATTAATTTTAATTGCTTCCTTTTGGCATTTTTGTTAAGTAAGTGTGATTAAGTCATAATGCAATTTAACTATTCCTGTTCTCTGTTTTATTTTGTGTTTATGAATATATACTTATGATACTGGACAGTTTAGTGGATTGGAATTGGCTTTTTTTTACATTATTTTGTGACTATGAAAAATGATCAACCTGCTGGTTAACAGTAATATTATCTCCATAG